GGGGTGGGGTTCCCCCCCCCACCGCGGGAAAGCAGGTGGGACCTCCCCCCGGTGTCGTGTCCCTCGTCCCCTCCTCTGGCAGGGTCGCCGTTCCGCGACGAGATCACGCTGGCCATCCTGCAGCTGCAGGAGAACAACCGGCTGGAGATCCTCAAGAGGAAGTGGTGGGAAGGGGGGCACTGCCCCAAGGAGGAGGATCACCGCGCCAAAGGTGGGCGTGGCTTCGGTTGGGTGGGGCTGGCCCCGGCGGGCTCGGCCCAGTTTGGGTTGGTCCGTTGGGTTTGTCTGGGTTGGGTTGGGTGGCCCAGGCTGGGTTGCGTGTGGTTGGGTTGGGTTGAGCTGACCAACTTGGGTTGAGTTGTGTTGAACAGTTTGAGTTTAGTTGACTTAACTTGAGTTGGCTTGACTTGACCATGTAAAGTTGGGTTGAGTTGTGTTGAGTTGTGTTGGGTTGGTTGGTCCGTTGGGTTTGTCTGGGTTGGGTTGGGTGGCCCAGGTTGGGTTGCGTGTGGTTGGGTTGGGTTGAGCTGACCAACTTGGGTTGAGTTGTGTTGAACAGTTTGAGTTTAGTTGACTTAACTTGAGTTGGCTTGACTTGACCATGTAAAGTTGGGTTGAGTTGTGTTGAGTTGTGTTGGGTTGAGTTGAGTTGACTTGACTTGAGTTGTCCAAGTGAAGTTGAGTTGGGTTGAGTTGTGTTGACCGTGTTGGGTTGGGTTGGGTTGAGTTGTGTTGACCAAGTTGGGTTGGGTTGACTTGGGTTGACTTGGGTTGACCAAGTGAAACTGAGTTGGATTGAATTGGGTTGAGTTGGGTTGAGTTGTGTTGACCGAGTTGGGTTGGGTTGAGTTGTGTTGACCAAGTTGGGTTGGGTTGAGTTGGGTTGGGTTGGGTTGAGTTGTGTTGAGTTGTGTTGAGTTGTGTTGACCAAGTTGGGTTGTGTTGAGTTGTGTTGACCAAATTGGGTTGGGGTCGGGTTTTTTTTTTGTTGTTTGTTTGTTTATTTTTTTCTCCCCTCCCCCTCTCTGTTCGGGGGTGACGTCATCGCGCGCCCCCTCCCCTTTAAAAAAAATTAATAAAAACCCACCCGGACTTTTACGATCGCGTGCGAGTCCCGAAATCGCCCGAAATCGCCCCAAAAAATTAAAAATGAAAAAAAAATTGCAATTCCCGCGTTCGCCGCCGGGGGGCGCCGGAGGATCGCGATGCAAATGAGATGCAAATGAGCTCGGGAGCGAGCTCCCCCCGTCAAGGTCGCCGGATTTCGGGCGTTGCCGTGGCAACCAGACGTGACGTCAGCGGGGACTCCGCGCGGGCGGCTCCGGAGGGGGGAAACCCCCCCAAAAATAACCGGGGACCCCCCCCAAAAAAAAATAAACACGGGAAACATCCAGAAAATAAATTAACGCGGGAAACATCAAAAAAATAAATAAACACGGGACCCCCAAAAAATAAATAAACACGGAAAATCCCCCAAAAATAACTCGGGACCCCCCAAAAAAATACACATCCAAAAATAAATAAACACGGGAAACATCAAAAAATAACTCGGGACCCCCCAAAAAAATACACATCCAAAAATAAATAAACACGGGAAACCCCCCCAAAAATAACCCGGGGACCCCCCCCCAAAAATAAATAAATACGGGAAACATTAAAAAAATAAATAAACACGGGACCCCCAAAAAATAAATAAACACGGGAAACCCCCCCAAAAATAACCCGGGGACCCCCCCCCAAAAATAAATAAATACGGGAAACATTAAAAAAATAAATAAACACGGGACCCCCAAAAAATAAATAAACACGGGAAACCCCCCCAAAAATAACCCGGGGACCCCCCCCCAAAAATAAATAAATACGGGAAACATTAAAAAAATAAATAAACACGGGACCCCCAAAAAATAAATAAACACGGGAAACCCCCCCAAAAATAACCCGGGGACCCCCCCCCAAAAATAAATAAATACGGGAAACATTAAAAAAATAAATAAACACGGGGACCCCTCCCCAAAAATAAATAAACACGTGACCCCCCCAAAAATAACTCGGGACCCCCCAAAAAAATAAACACGGGAAACATCAAAAAAAAATAAATAAACACGGGAAACATAAAAAAAAAAAAAAAAAAAAACCACGGGACCCCCCCAAAAAAAAATAAACCCGGGGAAATACCCCCAAAATAAACACGGGACCCCCCCAAAA